TTCACATCTTGTCTTCACATCTTGTCTTCACATCTTGTCTTCACATCATGTCTTCACATCACGTCTTCACATCACGTCTTCACATCTCGTCTTCACATCTCGTCTTCACATCACGTCTTCACATCTTGTCTTCACATCACGTCTTCACATCTCGTCTTCACATCACGTCTTCACATCTTGTCTTCACATCTTGTCTTCACATCTTGTCTTCACATCACGTCTTCACATCACGTCTTCACATCTCGTCTTCACATCACGTCTTCGCATCTTGTCTTCGCATCACGTCTTCACATCACGTCTTCACATCACGTCTTCACATCACGTCTTCACATCACGTCTTCACATCTTGTCTTCACATCACGTCTTCACATCTTGTCTTCACATCTTGTCTTCACATCACGTCTTCACATCTTGTCTTCACATCTTGTCTTCACATCATGTCTTCACATCATGTCTTCACATCATGTCTTCACATCATGTCTTCACATCATGTCTTCACATCACGTCTTCACATCTCGTCTTCACATCTCGTCTTCACATCACGTCTTCACATCACGTCTTCGCATCACGTCTTCACATCACGTCTTCACAGCATCTTCTTGATGACAGTCAGCTGTGAAACTTGCAGCTGCTCGTAACCCCCCCCCCCCCCAGATGTTCTCGCTCTGTCGCAGGTGAACGCCACGAGAACTCGTGACCACTTGAAAATGTGGCAGAACGTCCCTTTAAATCGTTAGACACGCCTGTGGGCCCTGACGCTGCTCGACCTCTGACCTGCTGAGATGTTCATCCACTGCGATGAATCAAGCCTGGAAACAAAGAACGTGTCTGAAGAACGGCTTCTTAAAACTTGAAGCTGAACTGAAGCTGTTTTCCTGTTTTCAGGACTTTTCTTCAGAACATCCAACACCTCTGCTGCTGGGAGGTCACGTTCAAGAGGATGTCATGGAGAACCAGGATGGACCTCGTTCAGACTGTCAGGACTAACAAGAACCAGAGATGGGACCAGAAGCCAGAAGTTGAAGCCGCCATAGACAAGCTCCGCCCACCAGGCTGACAGCAGGATCAATTTCATGCAAGTCCATCACTGGGACACAGAGACAACCAACCAGTCAAGTTGATAGTTCCACCATGTTGGACCTGAAGAGATGATGTGGTGGCAGCCATCTTGGGTTTTCACATGACGGCCCACTGTTTGAAAGGAACCGTTCTAACGTGTCGATGCAGCCACAGTCTGAAGCAGAAGGTGGTGTCTGGTTTACTCTTCCAGGTCGTCTGCTCCAACAAGCACGGACGGTGTTTCCACATCGACCTCTTCGAAACGTCTTCACTCAGAGATGAACGGAGCTCCTGAAGACAGACTGCAGACCCAGTCCTGCTCTCGACCCTGCGGACCCAGTCCTGCTCTTGACCCTGCGGACCCAGTCCTTCTCTCGACCCTGCGGACCCAG